TACTTCAAGGCTATGACGAGCAGAGATTATTATATAATGTACTAATGCAAAACACAGCATTTAGCTCAAGAGCAATAAATATGGCTAACATCGTAATTGTATGTTTTATAAGCCAGTAACAAATTTATCACTGAAAACATATTTTAAGGAGTTGGGGAGCTGAGGAAAAGACTAAAGATGGCTCTAAAAATGCATAGCAGACACTTGCCTTGAGCTGAGGGACAGGGCTCAGGCCCAGAGTTCAAGTCCCATTACTAACAAAAATATATATATAGCAGACAGCAAGAGAAGAATCAAGAAACCCCACAGACACAAACTCCACTGAAGCAAACTGAACAAGCTGCAGAGTACTATAGCTGATGGAGCTGGCCAGGTGTTTGTTTCTACAAAGTGTTAAAAATGACAATGTGTCTGACAATGTTACCAATCTTTAAAACAGATTAAACTTTCATTTCAAGTGTTTAAAAGATGATAGATAAGGGCATAATTGATAGGTATGTACAATTAGCATCACAAATTTACCATAGTATATACCTAAACCTTAAATAACTGCATTTATATTTAGTCTATTACCAAGCAGGAAATGTAACTCAGTTATAAAACAACTTTTTTTCCCCTCCTAGGGCTTGAACTCAGGCCTGGGCACTGTCCATAAGCTTCTTTTGCTAGTGCTCTACCACTTAAGCAACAGTGACATTTCCAGCTTTTTCTGAGTTTATTAGAGATAAGAATCTCACAGAATTTTCTGCCCAGGCTGGCTTCAAACTGGAATCCTCAGATCTCAGCCTCCTGAATAGTTAGGATTATAGGGGTGAGTCACTAATGGCCAGCATGAACCAACTTTTTAGCATAAAAAGGGCCCTGGGCTTAATCCCCATTCAAACTGGTAGGGGTTGGGAGGCAACAGACAAGATAGGCCAAGGAATTTCTCTTTTTTTGCTATTAAATATTGAAAGCAATGCACGTAAAATTCAAATACATTACCTATGAAATTCTTAAATACAGTGGCTTAACATGCCATCAATTTCTTCAGACAAAGCAAGATCATCTTGTTGGTCTTCCTACCCTACACCACCAGAAGAGTAGTGTGCATGAAGGTTGCTTTGACAAAAATAAAATGAAACTTTCTCCCAGGCCAAAAGGCACCCATTTTGCAAATCAAGGCTGGATGTTAAGTCGTTAAAACAGTGTAGCTTATTATCTCAGAAGCCAAAATGTCTCACCAGTGAAGGTCTTAGATCCTTCCTCTATATCTTTGAACTTCCAAACACTACTAATAAGCAAGACATTCCATGTGAATCCTTAGACTCAGCTTCTATTTCTAGCTTGGCCCCTGAATGAATCACACTGTGACCTCGAGAAAGTTTCCACCTCTGCTTATCTCCATTTCCAACTGATGATATTTTGTCAATAACACTCAGCCAATGAGTGATATTGTATAGCTGGAAGCAGCTACACAAAATCATATCTGCTGACCAGTTCTAGCAAACTATCAAATATGAAATAGGTGATGTTCATATAACAAGAGGAAAAAAAATCTGCCTGAAGACATTAAAAAAAAAAAAACCCAAGCACTACTGAAACAGGGCTCTTTTGGAGTCCCAAACTTCAAATTTGAAAATACTAAACATTAAAATGATATGCATATTCCAAGAGTGCATTTTTAAGAAGAAAAAAAAGATATTTTATTTTTAAAAAGACAAAAGGTAAAACAAAACATCAACCTTATTAGGGTCCTATGATCTTCCATGATTCTTTTCCATTCTCCTATGACAAATGCCAAGGATTATACCTCTTCAAGACACTTCTGCATATCTATAGACAGAAAGACCAATAGACAAATAGATAGATATACAAATACGCAACTACATAGATAACAGACAGAAGATTCCTGTAGAGTCTTCTTTCTTTCTTTGGTGGTTTTATTTTGTGTATTTTTTTCAGTGCTAAGGAGGATGTCCTTGAGCAAACTAGGCAAGCATTTTATCATGAGCATCACTTTTAAGCCCCTGCTCTGTGCTCATTAGTGTCTTCTCTTAGTGAACTTGAAAAGGCATGCCATGGTTCTGGCTGCAGAATATGGCTCAGTAAAAAAGTGCTTGCCTAGCATGTACAAGTCCTTCCATCTCAGTACACACACACACACACACACACACACTATATATATATATATATATATGTACACACATATATATATGTACAATGTACATATGTACACATATGTACAATGTAGGTGTCCAATACACATGTTCAGGTATATACAAATGTATATATATATATATATACATATGCACAATAAGTGAATATAGCAAATTAATTTCCAATGATTTAGACTACTAGAAGAACATTCCTTAATATTAATCGTTGATAATCTTGTAGTAATTGTATTGTGGTAATTTTCATTTTTGGCTAATTATATACAAAGAAATGTTACCTAAAGAGAAAATACACAATTTTTAACCAAAACTTAATTCACAGAATTTGGGCTAGGGTATGCTTCAGTGGTAGAGTCTTTGCCTAGTATGCACATGGTCCTACATTTGATCCACAGAACATTAAGAAATAAAATAAAATAAATTCACAACCTTGCAATCATCTTTTATCAAAAATGTTCTGTCATGTTCTTACATGATCATTGTTACCTTTAAATAAAATATAATATGGGGCTGGGAAGGTGGCTCAGAGGTAGAGCACTTGCCTTGCATGCATGAGGCCCTGGGTTCGATTCCTCAGCACCACATAAGCAAAAAGAAAAAAGCCAGAAGTGGTGC